CTATAGCCCCAGACTTGGACTGAGCCACTGGAAAATCAGCTAAACATACTCCCCATCCGAACAGGAAGTTGTGTCCAAACTGCACGATTCCCCTCAGTCAAACCCATATGGGGCTCCATGCTCTCTGCACTCTCTACTGCAGGCTCAGGGTTGGGCTGTTATTATAGCCCAGGGTTGGGGGCCAATTCCACTTCCATTTCAAATCAAAATGCTTGAGTTAGAATTTCTATTCATTTCCTGAATTGATTGAATAAAATGGCAGTGATCCAATAACTCTGTGAGAAACGTATCATAACGAGATAGAGTAACAAACTCATTAAGCAGGCAGGACTTGTATTTGGGGGTTTGGCGAGACTATAGTAGTACAGTAAGGTGGGCGTGGAACAACCCTGTGTGTTTTATCTCTGTCTATTTTTAGAGACGGGTACACGCCTTAATATTACCACAGAAAAGAGGAACAAATGCAAAGGCATTGTGTGAAATGCTACCTGTGTTCAACTCTCTGTGGTTTATTAAACACACACACGCAAGCACACACACACACACATACACACAATGTCATTATTGTGTAGAGACAGTACAAGACAAGTTTAGTTGATTATAATTTGGTTAATCCATGAGCAGTGAATCTACCCCCATAGAATCCCCACCACATCAACAACCCAACATCTCAAACCTGTGGACCTCAGTCAGTGGATTGGACTGTGTCCTCTGTTTTATCGCCTTACAACAGGCTTCCCCTGGTACACAGCCTCAAATCCCCTGGAATATGTTAGTCAGCTAATTAAAGAATGAAACACTGTACTCCTGTGGGAGAAAAGCATGCAAACCAAACACTGTGTTTTCACTAATTACAGTTGTAGCTCGTTAACGAGTCCAGCTAACCTTTGTTATGTCAGATTAGGGCTGGTTGGGGTTAATCCTGGATCACTAGACTACATAACAATTGATCATGTTCTTTCCATTCTAACGCATTCCTGCCTCGCTCATAATAACATGCGTGTAGTAGGCTTATTGTACAGTCCCTAGCTAGTAAACACATAACATGGTTAAATAAGCATAGTGGCTGTCCCAAATACTACACTACTCTTAAGACCCATTGACCTACAGTTGAAGTCGGAAGTTTACATACACTTAGGTTGGAGTCATTAAAACTCGTTTTTCAACCACTCCACAAATTTCTTGTTAACAAACCATAGTTTTGGCAAGTCGGTTAGGACATCTACTTTGTGCATGACACAAGTAATTTTTCCAACAATTGTTTACAGACAGATTATTTCACTTATAATTCACTGTATCACAATTCCAGTTGGTCAGAAGTTTACACACACTTGAATGTGCCTTTAAACAGCTTGGGAAATTCCAGAAAATGATGTCATGGCTATAGAAGCTTCTGATAGGCTAATTGACATCATTTGAGTCAATTGGAGATGTACCTGTGGATGTATTTCAAGGCATACCTTCAAACTCAGTGCCTCTTTGCTTGACATCATGGGAAAATCAAAAGCAATCAGCCAAGACCTCAGAAAAACAATTGTAGACCTCCACAAGTCTGGTTCATACTTGGGAGCAATTTCCAAATGCCTGAAGGTACCATGTTCATCTGTACAAACAATAGTACGCAAGTATAAACACCATGGGACCATGCAGCCGTCATACCGCTCAGGGAGGAGACGCGTTCTGTCTCCCAGAGATTAACGTACTTTGGTGCGAAAAGTGCAAATCAATCCCAGAACAACAGCAAAGGACCTTGTGAAGATGCTGGAGGAAACAGGTGCAAAAGTATCTATATCCACAGTAAAACGAGTCCTATATCGACATAACCTGAAAGGCTGCTCATCAAGGAACAAGCCACTGCTCCCAAACCGCCATAAAAAAGCCAGACTACGGTTTGCAACTGCACATGGGGACAAAGATCGTACTTTTTGAAGAAATGTCCTCTGGTCTGATGAAAGAAAAATAGAACTGTTTGGCCATAATGACCATCGTTATGTTTGGAGGAAAAAGGGGGTCGCTTGCAACCCGAAGAACACCATCCCAACCGTGAAGCATTGGGGTGGCAGCATCATGCTGTGGGGGTGCTTTGCTGCAGGAGGGACTGGTGCACTTCACACCAGTTCCTCCTGCAGTCTGTCAGAGTGACCATCGGGTTCTTGGTCACCTCCCTGACCAAGGCCCTTCTCTCCCGATTGCTCAGTTTGTCCAGGCGGAAAGCTCTAGGAAGAGTCTTGGCGATGTCATGACTCTCAGATCAGAATACAGAGAAATAACAGTCTACACATCTCTCACTCTCTCCTGCAGAACACAGGAGGGATTGATATGGGGGGGTTTTATGACCCCTCGCGCAAAATCCTAAATGGTTTGCAGCAAATTACTCCTTGTTGGTCCCTGGTATTGGCGATCTGAATGGCTCTGTATTACAGGGATAGATTGCCGCCCAAAACTCTAAACGACCACAGGTGGACACTGGAACAGTATATTTCAACATCCGAATGTTGGGAATGATGAGAGGGGGAATATGGAAAAACTAATGTCTATTTTGTGATGTCATTAAAAGTTTTATAAAAACGTTATAACGAAAATATTGTAACTTGAAGAGCTTTCAAATTGTGCATTTCAAGTTTGCATCCATTACAATGTGTAGGAAATATCCAGGAAAAATTGAATATTTTTGTAAAAATAGGAAGATGATTTTGGTTCTCTAACGAAATCATAGTGTTCAGAATACTTTGCCCCAGTAACTAGCCATGCCCACGGGAGCTCAGAAAGAGTGTCCGTATGACGTAAATGCCCTCTTTACCAGAGTATATAAAAGATTGAGTTAAGAATGAACAAAGGAGACTACATTTCAGTCATTTAGCAGACACTATTATCCAGTTAGTGAATGCATACATTTTCATACTGGCCCCCCGTGGGAAACGAACCCACAACCCTGGCGTTGCAAGCGCCATGCTCTACCAACTGAGCTACAGGGGACTGGTGGGACCTGAAGCTGCAGCTAGGTCTATATTGGTACTGACCCTGAAAACTAACACGTGGTTGAAGAAGACAACGGAGCTTCTAATAGTCAATGCTACGCTTGAGAAAATGTTCTAAGTACTGTATCTAAGAAAGTGAATTTAAGTAGGGCCATCCGGCTACTCTCTTCAAATCATCGTCAACAACACTGTTCTCATCACCCCATCGGCACGGGTCATCAACACGGCTGATTAGCCGTCCTCAGAAGATCACTCTTCCAGAACGGGCAGAGTGAACATCACCCTGTTAGTCCACAGACTACAGAACCAGACAACTATCATCCAGAACACGAGGAGAAGACCCCATCGAGCCCTTTCCACGGAGGCCTGGGTCCAACAGAGATACACGACCTCCAACACGTAAATACATGCATTACTTCTTACCAAACGGGTGGCAGTTCAGGGCAAGGCATTAGGATTACTGTGAGCGTAGTTCCATGTGTATCCAAGTGTTCTCTCTCTCTCTCGCGCTCTTTAACTCGCCATCTTTTGTAACAAGTGTCATATTGTGTTCGTCCGCTAGGGACCCATTTTCATTGTATTAAGTTCTAATCTCTAACCTATACGTGTATGTGTTTGTATCTTGTGTTGTCATTTTTAATTAGTTTGTAAATAAATAATTAAATCAATTTGTGTGGTACGGAATGATCAGTAAGACCCATTTTTTTGTAGATTTAAAGAGTCTACGACTTTCAGAATGAGACTGATATGAGGTAAATGATTAATAAGCGACTGTTAAAGGATGTAAGCGATAGCTAGATATCTTTAGAGTTAATTAGGGAAACTGTAACTCCTTAAACAACTTTTCTGTGGTGCCCCAAATTTCTACTGAGTTAATTGTTACATGATTAATTTGATCTAGTAACACTTAAACATAGTAGGTACATTTTCGATAATCACATCAATGAAAGTCACGTCACGACAGTGGTTCCAAACTTCTTCCATTTAAAAATGATGGAGGCCACTTAGTTCTTGGGGACCTTCAATGCTGCAGAATGTTTTAGTACCCTTCCCCAGATCTGTGTCTTTACACAATCCTGTGTCTGAGCTCTACAGACAATTCCTTCGACCTCATGGCTTGGTTTTTGCTCTGACATGCACTGTCAACTGTGGGACCATATATAGACAGGTTTGTGCCTTTCCAAATCATGTCCAATCAATTGAATTTACCACAGGTGGACTCTAATCAAGTTGTAGAAACATCTCAAGAATGATCAATGGAAACAGGATGCATCTGAGCTCAATTTCGAGTCTCATAGCAAAGGGTCTGAATACTTTAGTAAATAAGGTATTTCAGTTTTTTATTTGTAATACATTTGCAAACATTTCTAAAAACCTGTTTTCGCTTTGTCATTATGGGGTATTGTGTGTAGATTGATGAGGAACACTTTTTATTTAATCAATTTGAGAATAAGGCTGTAACATAACAAAATGTGGAAAAATTATGTTGACTTGTTGATTAACTTTCCCAGGTTGTTTGCTGCCTCTGCAGTATGGGAGTATGTTCCGAAAGAAGGTTGGATGTTGAGTGCAAGCGTAATCCAGAAAATTTTTGTGCAGATTTTTCACAAAACATGGAAAGGGACTCTTTTGTTTCTGAAGTAGCAGGTTTTGAATGCAGTCTGAGGCCCAGCTGCCCAGCCCAACTGCCACTGCAGTTTCTCTCTCCCCCTCTCTCTGTCTCTCATCCCCCCTCCCCTCTCAGTTCCTGAGGGATTTGTCATCGTTTTTCTGGCTGAATCGCTTGCAGGCCCTGAGTGATTGGTTAGGGCTCAAGACACTCACCCCTCTTTCTTCCTGTGGCAACCCCTCCTCTCAGCCCCTCGCCGTAAAATGGAAGTGGTTGCGTGATCAGCCTCAGTGTGACTGGCAGGAGGTGGAGGGTTCAGTTAAAACCCTACACACTAGGAAACCATTCAGTTTCCTTCCTTGATTACAGCTGTGAACAGACCCCAGACCTTTCTCTCTCTCTCTCTCTCTCCATTCTTACACTCCATTCCTCTCTCCCTGGTGATACCGCTCCACTCCTCTCTGGTGCTCCACGCCTCCACTTCTCTCTTTCCATTCCTCCATTCCTCCTCATCCTGTGTGGTAGGGCCGATGTGCTCCATGGGTTTTGCGCGGTCGCTGGGCTTTGCCCTCCTGCCCCTGGCTGTGTGCGGTATCGTTGCCAACATCCTGCTGTTCTTCCCTGGAGGAGAGATCCAATATGTCCAACAGGAGAGACTGTCCAGGCTGATCTGGTTCATGATGGGAATCGGAGGGGGAGGCGTGTTGGTGAGTAGCCATATGTCACTCTGTTGTTACTACACAGGCTACAGTAGTATTATTGAGTTTATGGTTTACGGGTCAGATTTACAGGCTGTTCAGGGAACGAATGGTAGAATAAAACACAAAGTTGGTCTTGTATATATATTCTCTTGGTCTTGTATTTCCTTTCTGATAATAACAGGTGCTAATCGGACACAGGTGCGAACACAGACTTCAGTAAATCCTTGTTTGAGTGACTGTCTTCTGTATGTGTGTTTTTACCTTTTTGACAATGGGGACTTGTCTCATGGCTGTTTTCCTTACTGTGGAGATACTATAGGAGACAAAGGAAAATGGTTGTCAGCTCTTCCTCCGACATGCTACCACAGGAGTTTTATTTTCTTATTTTGGAGGATTTTCCCAGAGACCTAATGTAGGAATAAGCCACCATTTCATGAAACTGTTCTATGGACCATATTTTATGTGATTAGGGATAGTTGTACAGTACAGTGCTACAACCACAGAGCTCTTGATTGATTGATAGATTGAATTGATTAGATCATTAAAAGTAGCAGGCTGCTCCAGCTGGAGACAACATCACGTACACAAACATTTTTGAAGATAAAAACACAATAAAGCCTGTAGGCTTATTTCCATTGTGGTCCACATTTGGCAGTAAGATTGTGGGCAAGACTGACACTTTAGATGCACTCAGTGCAATTAAAATCAACACATAGCAGTCTTGAGGATATTGTTGTATATAGATGGTGGATTGATGCACTGAAATATCATACTGTAACAGACCCTGAGATCTCCCCATTGTGTGTCTCTGTAGATGTTCCTGCCTGCTGGAGTGTTCATCAGCCTTGGGAAGTGTACAGGCTGCTGTTGGAATGAAAGCTTCATGGTGAGGACGGATGCTTTGGTTACTTATTGTGATTTCAGTCAGTGATTCTATTATTGTGCAAAAAGCAGAGGTGACGGGTCAGCCTTGTTGTGTTCTTCAGCTCAAGTTTTAGTTTTTTGTCGTTTTTTGTAAACCGTCAAAGTAGGTTAGTGGATGTTATTTGGTTTGTTACACAAGGCTTTGATCCTATTAATAAATGTACAGATGGTACAAAGGACTATTCTAACACTGTGAGGGACTATGCTAAGCTAATGCTATTAGGCTCATGAAAGGTAGGCTATGCCTAGCTAATCATACAAAGGGGCCATTGTAACACTATTAGGGGGTACAGTAATGATATGTGAAGGAGGCTTCACCATCAGGGAGTACAAAGCGTCTGGGCCAGGGATAGGAGCTGAACCTTATCTGTGTATAAGCTGGTTTGTAACAGTTATAAGCCAACATTTCTCCTCACACAACCACACACTACTCCCATGGGGATTGTTATGCAGTTGCTCTGGGATTAACAGGCAGGCCTGAACCGTGTGTGTGTGTGTGTGTGTGTGTGAGAGAGAAAGAGGGAGAGAGTTTAGTTTTTTGTTTTTAGGGATAGAGTTTGTGTGTGTGTATATTTATATACTAAAGCACAGTATGTGTGTGTGTATTATATAGATGTGTGGGTCGGTAATGGCAGCTCTAGTGGGTCTGGCCGGCTCGGGATACTGTTTCGTCATCTCAGCCATGGCCATGTTGGAGGGACCTCAGTGCTTCACCGCTCTGGGATGGTCTTATCCCTTTGCCAATGAGGGAGGAAGGTTAGTTCCACCCTCTTCTCACAGGAAATGCTAATTGTTCTGGAAATGTTCTAGCCATCTATGTTTTTTTAGGTGCCAAAATGCATTGGAAACAAATCTTCTGTGAGTGCCTGTGTCTTTCTAGTTTTGATTTGGAGTTCATTTGTGTGCGTGTCCATTTCCTATCACGTGTGTGTTATGAAATAACATCCTGTCGAGTGAGTCACAGCTTCTTAACTCTATTTAATATTAAACTGCAATAAAGACTACAATACGCACAACTTTAATTGAATTTCCCACTGTCTGTGTCTGTCCACAGGTACCTGTTGGAGAAGGACACCTGGTCTAAGTGCCTGCAGCCTGTCAGCATCGTAGAGTGGAACGTGACTCTGCTCTCCATCCTGCTGGGGCTTAGTGGGCTGGAGTTCATCATATGTGTCCTGCAGGTCATCAATGGGCTGGTGACAGCTGTCTGCAGACCCTGCTGCTACAAGCAGGACTACACCCTCAATGCCTGAACACACACATAGATGAGACACACACACATACACAGGCACAGACAGACACACACACAAACACAAACAGACAAAATGTGATTATACATACACACGCATGCATATAACATAAGATCGATATGCATACACATGATATGATACATAAGACACATGCACACACATACAATACACGCCAGGAGTGTGTACAATGCCATCTGGGGAACATTGCTTTCCAAACACCCATTATAATCTCCAGTAAACATTCTAAGATGTACTCCTGGGGGCACATCTCAATAGTGAAAAGTGACTTCCTCTCCTCGTATCCTTCAGTCCCTGGGCCAGTTTCTAATCAGAAAGTGTGATTAACAAGTGAACGCTGCCTCATCCCTGTATGAGGGAGAGATACCTGTCTGAATGTTCAGTTTATTTATAGTATTCATTTCAAAGCACTGTATTAGAAACACACTGAATGAATGTGTGTATTATACAGACCGGAACTGCAGTATTTTTTATGTTTGATGTCTTAAGTCTACATTTTACTGAAGCACAAAAGTATATATTTTTTTGTATGAGAGTTTTGTCTTTTGTATTACTGTTTTCATTTTCAGAAAATTGTTGTCTCGCAGATGCTAGATACTAAGATGTTAAGGCCATTTTATATATTTAGTGCAATAAATACGTATTTTCCATTTTACTTGTTCTGATTAATCTTTTTTTTGTAAACTTGCTAAATTTGCAACGCTGTATACTTTGATACTTATTTGAGTAAAGATAGACGGGTTGGTTGGTTAGCAACAGAACTGACACATGCACAACTATTGGGCAAAACAAACGGGGTTGGCTTAGATTGTTGACAACATGTAAACTATATTTCGTCTCCAATGTTTATTGAAAACATAAATATACTGAACAAAAATATAAACGCAACATGTAATGTGTTGGTCCCATGTTTCATGAGCTGAAATAAAAGATCCTAGAAATGTTCCATATGCACAAAAAGCTTATTTATCTCAGATTTTGTGCACACATTTTTACATCCCTGTTAATGAGCATTTCTCCTGTGCCAAGATAATGGCAGGTGTGGCATATCAAGAAGCTGATTAAACAGCATGATCATTACACAGGTGCACCTTGTGCTTGGGATAATAAAATGCCACTCTAAAATGTGCAGCTTTGTCACACAACACAATGCCACAGATGTCTCAAGTTTTGAGGGAGAGTGCAATTGTCATGATGACTGCAGGAATGTCCACCAGAGCTGTTGCCAGAGAACTGAATGTTCATTTCTTTACCATAAGCCGCCTCCAACATCGTTTTAGAGAATTTGTCACAATCAAAGACCACGTGTAACCACGCCAGCCCAGGACCTCCACATCCGGCTTCTTCACCTTCGGGATCGTCTGAGACCAGCCACCCGGACAGCTGATGAAACTGTAGGTTTGCACAACCGAAACATTTCTGCACAAACTGTCAGAAACGTCTCATGGATGCTCTTCTGCATGCTCGTCGTCCTCACCAGGTTCTTGACCTGACTGCAGTTCGGCGTCGTAACCGATTTCAGTGGGCAAATGCTCACCTTCGATGGCCACTGGCATGCTGGAGAAGTGTGCTCTTCACGGATGAATCCTGGTTTCAACTTTATTGGGTAGATGGCAGTCAGTGTGTATGGCGTTGAGTGGGTGAGCGGTTTGCTGATATCAACATTGTGAACAGAGTGCCTCATGGTGGCGGTGGGGTTATGGTATGGGTAGGCATAACGTTGACAACGAATACAATTGTATTTTATCAATGGAAATTTGAATGCACAGAGATACCGTGACAAGATCTTTGCCTCGATCTTGACTAGTCTACAAGTCCCTGCCACTGAAAAACATCCCCACAGCATGATGCTGCCACCACCATGCTTCACCGTAGGGATGGTGCCAGGTTTCATCCAGACGTGACGCTTGGCATTCAGGCAAAAAGAGTTCAATCTTGGTTTCATCAGACCAGAGAATCTTGTTTCTCATGGTCTGAGTGTCTTTAGGTGCCTTTTGGCAAACTCCAAGTGGGCTGTCATGTTCCTTTTACTGAGGACTGGCTTCCGTCTGGCCACTCTACCATAAAGGCCTGATTGGTGGAGTGCTGCAGAGATGGTTGTCCTTCTGGAAGATTCTCTCATCTCCACAGAGGAACTCTGGAGCTCCTTCAGTGTGACCATTGGGTTCTTGGTCACCTCCCTGACCAAGGCCTTTCTCCCCCGATTGCTCAGTTTGGCCGGGCGGCCAGCTCTAGGAAGAGTCTTGGTGGTTCCTAACTTCTTCAATTTAAGAATGATGGAGGCCACTGTGTTCTTGGGGACCTTCAATGCTGGAAGAATGTTTTGGTGTCCTTCCCCAGATCTGTGTCTCGACACAATCCTGTCTCGGAGCTCTACAGACAATTCCTTCATGGCTTGGTTTTTGCACTGACATGCACTGTCAACTGTGGGACCTTATATAGACAGGTGTGTGCCTTCCAAAATCATGTCTAATCAATTGAATTTACCAATCTCCAATCAAGTTGTACAAACATCTCAAGGATGATCAATGGAAACAGGATGTACCTGAGCTCAATTTCGAGACTCATAGCAAAGGGTCTGAATAATTATGTAAATTACCGGTAGGTATTTCTGGTTGTTATTTTTAATACATTACCAAAAATGTCTAAAAACTTGTTTTCACTTGGTCATTATGGGGTATTGTGTGTAGATTGAGGAGGAAAAATATGTATTTAATCAATTTTAGAATAAGGCTGTAACGTAACAAAATGTTGAAAAAAGTGGTCTGAATGCACTGTAATTGATATTTTAGTCATTTATCCCGAGTGACTTACAGGAGCAATTAGGGTTAAGTGCCTTGCTCAAGGGCACATCGACAGATTTTTCACCTCGTCAGTTCAGGGATTCAAACCAGTAACCATTCAGTTACTGGCCCAACACTCTTAACCACTAGGCTACCTGCCGCCCGCAATGTCAAGCACTAATCAACCTCCTCATAAATTGCCTTATTTACTTGTGTAACGGCGCATACAGTGCAACGTGAAATAGATGCATAATACACGCTATATTAAGTCACATCAAGACCAACTTCATATGCTGACATCCATAGGCGATGAATGAGTTTCAAGTTTGGGGAAGCTATTCTTTCATCATAAAATTGCACCTTTATAATAAAGGATTGCATGAATCTATCATTGCATTTGCATACTAATGCATGATAGACTTCTATTCCTAATGTGATGAGCAGATTGCATAGTCATAATTCACTGTTAGCAAAACAGACAGTTCTGAACAATGCATGCCTGAGCGCATAGTGACATAGTGTTGGCCTAATCAAAGACGTTTGTTCTCCTTTGCACAGGAAATATTTAGCCTTTCATGTAATTCTTATACCCTTTACATGACTGTCGCATAAGCAATTTTTTTTATATGACACAAATTACTAGTCTACTCTGCTGACACTGACAAACAGATCAGTAAAAAACGACCTTGTCTTGAATGCAACCATCTAATCTACGCCTACGAAAAGGGGAGTCAAATTGTACAATATTATGTCCATCTAGCCTGGAGGAAGAAATTATTGTCCCATAAACCTTGCAGTGGTACTGATCCAATGATAAAGACAGTGAATATGTGTGCATTCACCGGGAATATGGTGGTGCTCTACACTGATGCCAATAAGGCTACCATTCGCTCAATTGGGAGTTGAGAATACACTAAACAGCACTTGCATTTTAATCGGAATTGGAATGATTTTAGTGTACTTTTTTGTAGCCTGCTTTGACATTTTTGGTCTTGAGCGACTGCTATACCCAAATGATGCCCCTGTTTTTACTCTAACCACCCACGGACCGGATTGAATGGGCTCACAGGCTGGATCCAGCCAGCGGGCCTTATGTTTGACACCCCTGGCATAAGGTGAAACAGCGCCACTGTTGGGCCCAGTGCCTTTTTGTTATTGTTTTGTTGATGAGACGGAGGAGAGGAGTATCCGGCCGAATGATTTTTTTGTAACATATTCTGGTGTTCTATCGAGCATGTTATGATGTCAATGACAAAAAAAATAGTGTGTCCGTTTAAAAAAAAGTAACGTCTTTGTTGTAATATCCCAAACGTACGTAGTTTCACCAAGTATGGATTCCAGCTTTAACCAATGGACAGCTAATGAAGTCATACTGTCACGTCATCCCATAGACTTCCTTAGTGCATAGTTATTGTTATACTGCCACTATCTGGCTTAAATGTAGAACTACAATATTTTAACACCTCTTGGAATACGCTTAGCTACAACCCTTGGTCAGAGCAAAAAGTACATTTGTTAATTGTCATTGACTACTTAGCCAGCCCCATTTTAGCCTTGGGTTGAGGTTAGTCATTGACTAATTGGTAGATCTTTTAGCATGACCTTAGATCGGTGGGGTTTTTTCCCCCTCATGTCACTGTTTGATCGTTAGTGTAGTGTGAGGATATGCTGGAGTTCCCGTACTTTACTGTATTCCTGTAAACCATGGTGATTTTTGCTACGAGTTGAGAAACCACATGGGCATGCGCTGTTTGTCAGTCTTATGTAAATTGCGTCTGTTTACCAGTGATTGACTGAAGCAACTCATTGTCCTACAATGTGATTGGCCATTTTGTGGATATGGTTAGACAAAGTAACAAAGGGTGGAATGATGTACACTGCGGCCTGTGTGTGTGTTTGTGTGTGTGTGTGTGTGTGTGTGTGTGTGTGTGTGTGTGTGTGTGTGTGAGTGTGTGTGTGAGTGTGTGCAGCAGCAAAATAGACAATGTAACTACAGTGAGGGAAAAAAGTATTTGATCCCCTGCTGATTTTGTACGTTTGCCCACTGACAAAGACATGACCAGTCTATAATTTTAATGGTAGGTTTATTTGAACAGTGAGAGACAGAATAACAACAACAAAAATCCAGAAAAACGCATGTCAAACATTTTAGAAATTGATTTGCATTTTAATGAGGGAAATAAGTATTTGACCCCCTCTCAATCAGAAAGATTTCTGGCTCCCAGGTGTCTTTTATACAGGTAACGAGCTGAGATTAGGAGCACACTATTAAAGGGAGTGCTCCTAATCTCAGCTTGTTACCTGTATAAAAGACACCTGTCCACAGAAGCAATCAATCAATCAGATTCCAAACTCTCCACCATGGCCAAGACCAAAGAGCTCTCCAAGGATGTCAGGGACAAGATTGTAGACCTACACAAGGCTGGAATGTGCTACAAGACCATCGCCAAGCAGCTTGGTGAGAAGGTGACAACAGTTGGTGCGATTATTCGCAAATGGAAGAAACACAAAATAACTATCAATCTCCCTCGGCCTGGGGCTCCATGCAAGATCTCCCCTTGTGGAGTTGCAATGATCTCAAGGCAGCTGGGACCATAGTCACCAAGAAAACAATTGGTGACACACTACGCTGTGAAGGACTGAAATCCTGCAATGCCCGCAATGTCCCCCTGCTCAAAAAAGCACATATACATGCCCGTCTGAAGTTTGCCAATGAACATCTGAATGATTCAGAGGAGAACTGGGTGAAAGTGTTGTGGTCAGATGAGACCAAAATTGAGCTCTTTGGCATCAACTCAACTCGCCATGTTTGGAGGAGGAGGAATGCTGCTCCATCAACCACCGTCAAACATGGAGGTGGAAACATTACGCTTTGGGGGTGTTTTTCTGCTAAGGGGACAGGACAACTTCACCGCATCAAAGGGACGATGGACAGGGCCATGTACTGTCAAATCTTGGGTGAGAACCTCCTTCCCTCAGCCAGGGCATTGAAAATGGGTCGTGGATGTGTATTGCAGCATGACAATGACACAA